AAAAAAGCCAAAGAAATGCAAGAATCAATAATGATATTGGGCTTGATTTAGTTGCAAGGAAACTGGCTGTTCCCGGATTCATCCACCCCTCCAGCTGACTGCCTGTGGAATTCTGACTGAATTCACCTGAATATCACAGTGAAACTCAGTTTGGAGGCAATTAATATCTGTCACCTCAGCCAAAGTGTTCCATTTTTTTTCCAAAACACAAAAACTCACCTTGGTAATGTTACCTGTAGATTTCTAAGCTTCAAATGCCTATTTGTTGTGGTTTTTATTTCATAATGCCTACTCTGTCCAAACTCTTGTTTGTGTTGCCTCAGAATACAAAATTAGGGAAGGAAGAAGGAAAAACCAACTCAGATGCACAAAACATTTAGGAAATTGCCGCTCAAGAAACCAGAAATTAGCTGAGGTATCGAAAACAATGACAGCAAGCCAGAATTGGAGCAAGACAACAGCTATGCCCTGATTGAAATAGAACCTTCCTCTTGTGCCATGAACTCCATATTGCAGCCTCAAAACCAAAGCTCACATCAGAAAATTCATTACAAACCATAAAAAATAAGAAAAATGATACAAAAGCCAAAGAAATGGAAGAATCCATAATGATATTGGGCTTGATTTAGTCGCAAGGAAACTGGCTGTTCCCAGATACATCCACCCCTCCAGCTGACAGCCTGTGGAATTCTGAGTGAATTAACCGGAGAAACACAGTGAAACTCAGTTTGGAGGCAATTAATATCTGTCACCTCAGCCAAAGTGTTCCATTTGATTTTCCAAAACACAAAACCTCACCTTGGTCGTGTTACCTGTAGATTTCAAAGCTTCAAATGCCTATTTGTTGTGTTTTTATTTCATAATGGCTACTCTCCCCAAACTCTTGTTTGTATGGCATCAGAATACAACATTTGGGAAGGAAGAAGGCAAACCCAATTCAGACCCAGAAAACATTTAGGAAATTGCCGCTCAAGAAACTAAAAGTCAGCTGAGGCACCCAAAACCATGACAGCAAGCCAGAATTGGAGCAGGCCAACAGGTGTGCCCTGTTTGAAAAAGACCATTCCTCCGTTACCCTGAACTCCATATTGCAGCCTCAAAACCAAAGCTCACATCAGAAAATTCATTACAAACCATGATGAATAATGGAAATGTGAAAAAGCCAAAGAAATGCAAGAGTCCTTTGTGATACTTGGCGGGATTAGACAAAAGGAACCTGGCTGTTTCCAGATTCATCCCCCCATCCACAGACTGACTTTGGACTTCTGATTGAATTCACCTCAAAATCCCACTCACATTCAATTTGGATGAATTAGTATCTCTCCCCTCAGCAGAAGGGTTCCATATCATTTTCCAAACCACAGAAACTCATCTTGGTCATGTTGCCTGTAGATTTCTAATCCTGAAAGGCCAATTTGCTGTGTTTTTGTTTTCCTTCATAATGGCTACTCTGTCGACAATCTTGCTTGTATTGCATGAGAATACACAATTTGGGTATGAAGAAGGGAAAACCAACTCAGACCCAGAAAATATTCAGCAAACTGACCCTCAAGAAACCAAAAGTCAGCTGAGGCACCCAACAATGACAGCAAGCCAGAATTGGAGCAAGCCAACAACTGTGCCCCAATTGAAAAAGAACCATTCTCTTGTGCCATGAACTCCATATTGCAGCCTCAAAACCAAAGCTCACATCAGAAAATTCATTACAAACCATGATAAATAAGGGAAATGTGAAAAAGCCAAAGAAATGCAAGAGTCCTTTGTGATATTTGGCTGGATTTAGACACAAGGAAACTGGCTGTTTCAGGATTCATCCCACCCTTAAACAGACTGACTTTGGAATTCTGATTGAATTCACCTCAAAATTGCACTCACACTCAATTTGGAGGAAATTAGTATCTGTCCCCTCGGCAGAAGGAGTCCAAGTCATTTTCCAAAACACAGAAACTCATCTTGATTGTGTTGCCTGTACAGTTCTAAACATGAAAGGCCAATTTGCTTTGTTTTTTTTTTTTTTTCATAATGGCTACTCTGTCAAAATCTTGCCTTGTATTGCATCAGAATACAAAATTTGGGAATAAGAAGGCAAAACTAACTCAGACCCAGAAAACATTTAGGATATTGCCACTCAAGAATCCACAAATCAGCTGAGGCACCCAAAACAATGACAGCAAGCCAGAATTGGAGCAGGCCAACAGCTGTGCCCTGATTGAAAAACAACCTTCCTCTGGTGCCCTGAACTGAATATGCCAGCTTAAAACCAAAGCTCACATCAGAAAACTCATTACAAACCATGATACATAAGAAAAATGAGAAAAAAGCCAAAGAAACGCAAGAATCCATAATGATATTGGGCTTGATTTAGTCAAAAGGAAACCGGCTATTCCCAGATTCATCCACCCCTCCAGCTGACTGCCTGTGGAATTCTGACGGAATTATCCGGAAAATCGCAGGGAAACTCAGTTTGGAGGCAATTAATATCTGTCACCTCAGCCAAAGTGTCCCATTTTATTTTCCAAAACACAAAAACTCACCTTGGTCGTATTACCTGTGGATTTCTAAGCTTCAAACGCCTATTTATTGTGTTTTTTTTTTATGGCAAAATGGCAAGTCTGTCCAAACTCTTTTTTGTATTTGGTCAGAATACAAAATTTTGGAAGGAAGAAGGAAAACCAACTCAGACGAACAAAACATTTAGGAAATTGATGCTCAAGAAACCTCAAATCGGCGGAGGCAACCAAAACAATGACAGTAAGCCAGAATTGGAGTAACCCAGCAGCTGTGCCCTGATTGAATAAGAACCTTCCTCTTGTGCCCTGAACTCCATATGCCAGCCTCAAAACCGAAGCTCACATCAGAAAATTCATTACAAACCATGATAAATCAGAAAAATGAGACAAAAGCCAAAGAAATGCAAGAATCCATAATGATGTTGGAATGGATTTAGTTTCAAGGAAACCGGCTGTTCCCAGATTCATCCACCCCTCCAGCTGACTGCCTGTGCAATTCTGACTGAATTAACCTGAAAATCGCAGTGAAACTCAGTTTGGAGGCAATTAATATCTGTCACCTCAGCCAAAGTGTTCCATTTTATTTTCCAAAACACAAAAACTCACCTTGGTTGTGTTACCTGTAGATTTCTAAGCTTCAAAAGCCTATTTGTGGTGTTTTTTATTTCATAATGGCTACCCTGCCGAAACTCTTGTTTGCATGGCGTCAGAATACAAAATTTGGGAAGGAAGAAGGCAAAACCAACTCAGACCCAGAAAACATTTAGGAAATTCCCGCTCAAGAAACCACAAATCGGCTGAGGCACTCAAAACAATGACAGCAAGCCAGAATTGGATGCAGGCCAACAGCTGTGCCCTGTTTGAAATAGAACCTTCCTCAGGTGCCCTGAACTCCATATTGCAGCCTCAAAACCAAAGCTCACATCAGAAAATTCATTACAAAGCATGCTGTATCAGAAAAAGGAGAAAAAAGCCAAAGAAATGCAAGAATCAAGAATGATATTGGGCTTGATTTAGTCGCAAGGAAACCGGCTGTTCCCGGATTCATCCACACCTCCAGCTGACTGCCTGTGGATCTGACTGAATGCACCTGAAAATCGCAGTGAAACTCAGTTTGGAGGCAATTAATATCTGTCACCTCAGCCAAAGTGTTCCATTTTATTTTCCAAAACACAAAAACTCACCTTGCTCGTGTTACCTATGGATTTATAAGCTTCAAAACCTATTTGTTGTGATTTTATTGCATAATGGCTACTCTGCCGAAACTCTTGTTTGTATGGCGTCAGAATACAACATTTGGGAAGGAAGAAAGCAAAACCAACTCAGACCCTGAAAACATGTAGTAAATTGTCGCTCAAAAGACCAATAATCGGCTGAGGCACCCAAAACAATGACAGCAAGGCAGAATAGGAGGAAGTCAACAGCTGTGCACTTTTTGAAAAATAACCTTCCTCCGGTGCCCTGAACTCCATATTGCAGCCTCAAAACCAAAGCTCACATCAGAAAATTCATTACAAACCATGATAAATAAGAAAAATGAGACAAAAGCCAAAGAAATGCAAGAATCCATAATGATATTGGGCTTGATTGAGTCGCAAGGAAACCTGGCTGTTCCCAGATTCATCCACCCCTCCAGCTGATGCCTGTGGAATTATGACTGAATTAACCGGAAAATCGCAGTGAACCTCAGTTTGGAGGCAATTAATATCTGTCACCTCAGCCAAAGTGTTCCATTTGATTTTTCAAAACACAAAAACTCACCTTGGTCGTGAACCTGTAGATTTCTAAGCTTCAAACGCCTATTTGTTGTGTTTTTTATTTCATAATCGCTACTCTGTCTGAACTCATGTTTGTATTGCGTCACAATACAAAATTTGGGAAGGAAGAAGGTAAAAACCTCTCAGACCCAGAAAACATTTAGGAAATTGCCGCTCAAGAAACCAAAAGTCAGCTGAGGCACCCAAAACAATGACAGCAAGGCAGACTTGGAGCAAGTCAACAGCTGTGCCCTTTTTGAAAAATAACCTTCCTCTTGTGCCCTGAACTCCATATTGCAGCCTCAAAACCAAAGCTCACATCAGAAAATTCATTACAAACCATGATAAATAAGAAAAATGAGACAAAAGCCAAAGAAATGCTAGAATCCATAATGATATTGGGCTTGATTTAGTCGCAAGGAAATTGGCTGTTCCCAGATTCATCCACCCCTCCAGCTGACTGCCTGTGGAATTATGACTGAATTAACCTGAAAATCGCAGTGAACCTCAGTTTGGAGGCAATTAATATCTGTCACCTCAGCCAAAGTGTTCCATTTTATTTTCCAAAATCAAAAACTCACCTTGGTCTCGTTACGAGTAGACTTATAAGCTTCAAACGCCTATTTGTTGTGTTTTTTATTTCATAATGACTACTCTGTCCAAACTCTTGTTTGTATTCCATCAGAATACAAATATTTGGGAAGGAAGAAGGCAAAACCAACTCAGACCCAGAAAACATTTAGGACATTGCCGCTCAAGATACCAAAAGTCAGCTGAGGCTCCCAAAACAATGACAGCAAGCCAGAATTGGAGCAAGCCAACAGCTGTACCCTGTTTGAAAAAGACCATTCCTCAGGTGCCCTGAACTCAATATTGCAACCTCAAAACCAAAGCTCACATCAGAAAATTCATTACAAACCATGATAAATAAGAAAAAGGAGAAAAAAGCCAAAGAAATGCAAGAATCAAGAATGATATTGGGCTTGATTTAGTCGCAAGGAAACCGGCTGTTCCCGGATTCATCCACACCTCCAGCTGACTGCCTGTGGACTTCTGACTGAATTCACCTGAAAATCGCAGTGAAACTCAGTTTGGAGGCAATTAATATCTGTGACCTCAACAAAGTGTTCCATTTTATTTTCCAAAACACAAAAACTCACCTTGCTCGTGTTACCTGTATTTTTCTGAGCTTCAAACGCCTTTTTGTTGTGTTTTTTATTTCATAATGGCTACTCCGCCCAAACTCTTGTTTGTATTGCGTCAGAATACAACATTTGGGAAGGAAGAAGGCTAAACCAACTCAGACCCAGAAAACCTTTAGGAAATTGCCGCTCAAGAAACCACAAATCGGCTGAGGCACTCAAAACAATGACAGCAAGCCAGAATTGGAGCAGCACAACAGCTGTGCCCTGTTTGAAAAAGACCATACCTCTGGTGCCCTGAACGCCATATTACAGCCTCAAAACCAAAGCTGACATCAGAAAATTCATTACAAACCATGATAAATAAGAAAAATGAGAAAAAAGCCAAAGAAACGCAAGAATCCATAATGACATTGGGCTTGATTCAGTCGCAAGGAAATGGGCTGTTCCCGGATTCATCCACCCCTCCAGCTGACTGCCTGTGGAATTCTGACTGAATTAACCTGAAAATCGCAGTGAAACTCAGTTTGGAGGCAATTAATATCTGTCACCTCAGCCAAAGTGTTCCATTTATTTTCCAAAACACAAAAACTCACCTTGGTCGTGTTACCTGTAGATTTCTAAGCTTCTAACAGCCTATTTGTTGTGTTTTTTATTTCATAATGGCTGCTCTGTCCAAACTCTTGTTTGTAATGCGACAGAATACAAAATTTTGGAAGGAAGAAGGCAAAACCAACTCAGACCCAGAAAACATTTAGGAAATTGCCACTCAACAAACCAAAATTGAGCTGAGGCATGCAAAACAATGACAGCAAGCCAGAATTGGAGCAAGCCAAGAGCTGTGCCCTGTTTAAAAAAAAAAAACCTTCCTCTTGTGCCCTAAACTCCATATTGCAGCCTCAAAACCAAATCTCACATCAGAAAATTCATTACAAAGCAGGATAAATCAAAAAATGAGAAAAATGCCAAAGAAATACAGTAGACCTTTCTGATATTGGGCTGGATTTAGTCGCAAGGAAACCGGCTGCTCCCAGATTCATCCACCCCTCCTGCTGACTGCCTGTGGAATTCTCACTGAATTAACCTGAAAATCGCAGTCAAACTCAGTTTGGAGGCCATTAATATCTGTGACCTCAACAAAGTGTTCCATTTTATTTTCCAAAACACAAATACTCACCTTGGTCGTGTTTCGAGTAGAGTTATAAGCTTCAAACGCCTATTTGTTGTGTTTTTTATTTCATAATGACTGCTCTGTCCAAACTCTTGTTTGTATTCCATCAGAATACAAAATTTGGGAAGGAAGAAGGCAAAACCAATTCAGACCCTGAAAACATTTAGGACATTGTGGCTCAAGAAACCACAAATCGGCTGAGGCACCCAAAACAATGACAGCAAGCCAGAATTGGAGCAAGCCAACATCTGTACCCTGTTTGAAAAAGACCATTCCTCCGGTGCCCTGAACGCCATATTGCCGCCTCAAAACCAAAGCTCACATCAGAAAATTTATTACAAACCATGATAAATAAGAAAAAGGAGAAAAAAGCCAAAGAAATGCAAGAATCAAGAATGATATTGGGCTTGATTTAGTCGCAAGGAAACCGGCTGTTCCCGGATTCATCCACACCTCCAGCTGACTGCCTGTGGACTTCTGACTGAATTCACCTGAAAATCGCAGTGAAACTCAGTTTGGAGGCTATTAATATCTGTGACCTCAACAAAGTGTTCCATTTTATTTTCCAAAACACAAAAACTCACCTTGGTCGTGTTACCTGTATTTTTCTAAGCTTCAAACGCCTTTTTGTTGTGTTTTTTATTTCATAAATGCTACTCTGCCCAAACTCTTGTTTGTATTGCGTCAGAATACAACATTTGGGAAGGAAGAAGGCAAAACCAACTCAGACCCAGAAAACCTTTAGGAAATTGCCGCTCAAGAAACCACAAATCGGCTGAGGCACTCAAAACAATGACAGCAAGCCAGAATTGGAGCAGCACAACAGCTGTGCCCTGTTTGAAAAAGACCATACCTCTGGTGCCCTGAACTCCATATTGCAGACTCAAAACCAAAGCTGACATCAGAAAATTCATTACAAACCATGATAAATAAGAAAAATGAGAAAAAAGCCAAAGAAATGCAAGAATCCATAATGACATTGGGCTTGATTCAGTCGCAAGGAAACGGGCTGTTCCCGGATTCATCCACCCCTCCAGCTGACTGCCTGTGGAATTCTGACTGAATTAACCTGAAAATCCCAGTGAAACTCAGTTTGGAGGCAATTAATATCTGTCACCTCAGCCAAAGTGTTCCATTTGATTTTCCAAAACACAAAAACTCACCTTGGTTGTGTTACCTGTAGATTTCTAAGCTTCAAACGCCTATTTGTTGTGTTTTTTATTTCATAATGGCTACTCTGCCCAAACTTTTGTTTCTATTGCGTCAGATTACAAAATTTGGGAAGGAAGAAGGCAAAACCAACTCAGACCCAGAAAACATTTAGGAAATTGCCGCTCAAGAAACAAAGGGCCGATGAGGAAGCCAAAACCTTGAAAGCAAGACAGAATTGGAGCAAGCCAACAGCTGTGCCCTGATTGAAAAAGACCATTCCTCCGGTGTCCTGAACTCGATATTGCAACCTCAAAACCAAACCTCAGATCAGAAAATTCATTACAAATCATGATAAATAAGAAAAATCAGAAAAAATCCAAAGAAATGCAGGAGTTCTTAGTGATATTGGGCTTGATTTATTCCCTTGTTAATGGCTGTTTCCAGATTCTTCTATACCTCCCAGCTGAGTGTCTGTGGTTTCTGCTGAATTAAAATGAAATTCGCTGTGAAACTCAGTTTGGAGGCAATTAATATCTGTCACCTCAGCAAAAGTGTTCCATGTCTTTTTCCAAAACACAAAATCTCACCTTGGTCGTGTTACCTGTAGCTTTCAAAAGCCTATTTGATGTGTTTTTTATTTCATAATGTCTATTCTGTCCAAACTCTTGTTTGTATTGTGTCACAATACAAAATTTGGGAAGTAAGAGGACAAAACCATCTGAGACTCAGAAAACGTTTAGGAAATTGCCACTCAAGAAACCTCAAATCGGCGGAGGCACCCAAAACAATGACAGCAAGCCAGAATTGGAGCAAGCCAGCAGCTGTGCCCTGATTGAAAAAGACCATTCCTCCGGTGCCCTGATCTCCATATTGCAGCCTCAAAACCAAAGCTCACATCAGAAAATTCATTACAAACCTTCATACATAAGAAAAATGAGAAAATACCCAAAAATGCAAGAATCCAGAATGATATTGGGCTGGATTTGTTCGCAAGGAAACCGGCTGTTCCCGGATTCATCCAACCCTGCAGCTGACTGCCTGTGGAATTCTGACTGAATTAACCTGAAAATCGCAGTGAAACTCAGTTTGGAAGCAATTAATAACTATCACCTCAGCTAAAGTGTTCCACTTTATTTTCTAAAACACAAAAACTCACCTCGGTCGTGTTACCTGTAGATTTCTAAGCTTCAAATGCCTATTTGTTATTTTTTTTGTTTCATAATGGCTACTCTGCCCAAACTCTTGTTTGTATTTGGGCAGAATACAAATATTGGGAAGGAAGAAAGCAAAACCAACTCAGACCCAGAAAACATTTAGGAAATTGCCGCTCAAGCAACAAAGGGCCGCTGAGGAACCCAAATCTTTGAAAGCAAGACAGAATTGGAGCAAGCCAACAGCTGTGCCCTGATTGAAAAAGACCATTCCTCCGGTGTCCTGAACTCGATATTGCAACCTCAAAACCAAACCTCAGATCAGAAAATTCATTACAAACCATGATAAAAAGAAAAATCAGAAAAAATCCAAAGAAATGCAGGAGTTCTTAGTGATATTGGGCTTGATTTATTCCCTTGTTAATGGCTGTTTCCAGATTCTTCTACACCTCCCAGCTGAGTGTCTGTGGTTTCTGACTGAATTAAAATGAAATTCGCTGTGAAACTCGGTTTGGAGGCAATTAATATCTGTCACCTCAGCAAAAGTGTTCCATGTCTTTTTACAAAACACAAAATCTCACCTTGGTCGTGTTACCTGTAGCTTTCAAAAGCCTATTTGATGTGTTTTTTATTTCATAATGTCTACTCTGTCCAAAGTCTTGTTTGTATGCCTCAGAAAAGAAAATTTGGGAAGGAAGACGGCAAAACCAACTCAGACCCAGAAAACATTTAGGAAATTGCCACTCAAGAAACCGAAAGTCAGCTGAGGCACCCAAATAAATGGCAGCAAGCCAGAATTGGAGCAGGCCAACAGCTGTGACCTGTTTGAAAAAGACCATTCCTCCGGTGCCCTGAACTCCATATTGCAGCCTCAAAACCAAAGATCACATCAGAAAATTCATTACAAACCATGATAAATAAGAAAAATGAGAAAAAAGCCAAAGAAATGCAAGAATCCATAATGATATTGGGCTGGATTTAGTCGCATGGAAACCGGCTGTTCCCGGATTCATCCACCCCTCCAGCTGACAGCTTGTGGAATTCTGACTGAATTAACCTGAAAATCGCAGTGAAACTCAATTTGGAGGCAATTAATATCTGTCACCTCAGCCAAAGTGTTCCATTTGATTTTCCAAAACACAAAAACTCACCTTGGTTGTGTTACCTGTAGATTTCTAAGCTTCAAACGCCTATTTGTTGTGTTTTTTATTTCATAATGGCTACTCTGCCCAAACTTTTGTTTCTATTGCGTCAGATTACAAAATTTGGGAAGGAAGAAGGCAAAACCAACTCAGACCCAGAAAACATTTAGGAAATTGCCGCTCAAGAAACAAAGGGCCGCTGAGGAAGCCAAAACCTTGAAAGCAAGACAGAATTGGAGCAAGCCAACAGCTGTGCCCTGATTGAAAAAGACCATTCCTCCGGTGTCCTGAACTCGATATTGCAACCTCAAAACCAAACCTCAGATCAGAAAATTCATTACAAACCATGATAAATAAGAAAAATCAGAAAAAATCCAAAGAAATGCAGGAGTTCTTAGTGATATTGGGCTTGATTTATTCCCTTGTTAATGGCTGTTTCCAGATTCTTCTATACCTCCCAGCTGAGTGTCTGTGGTTTCTGACTGAATTAAAATGAAATTCGCTGTGAAACTCGGTTTGGAGGCAATTAATATCTGTCACCTCAGCAAAAGTGTTCCATATCTTTTTCCAAAACACAAAATCTCACCTTGGTCGGGTTACCTGTAGCTTTCAAAAGCCTATTTGATGTGTTTTTTATTTCATAATGTCTATTCTGTCCAAAATCTTGCTTGTATTACGTCAGAATACAAAATTTGGGAAGTAAGAGGACAAAAACAACTGAGACTCAGAAAACGTTTAGGAAATTGCCACTCAAGAAACCTCAAATCGGCGGAGGCACCCAAAACAATGACAGCAAGCCAGAATTGGAGCAAGCCAACAGCTGTGCCCTGATTGAAAAAGACCATTCCTCCGGTGCCCTGAACTCCGTATGCCAGCCTCAAAAGCAAAGCTGACATCAGAAAATTCATTACAAACCATGATAAATAAGAAATATCAGAATAAAGCCAAAGAAATGCAAGAATCCACAATGATATTGGGCTTCATTTAGTTGCAAGGAAACCGGCTATTCCCGGATTCATCCACCCCTCCAGCTGACTGCCTGTGGAATTCTGACTGAATTAACCTGAACGGAGGCAGTTAATATCTGTCACCACAGCCAACTTGTTCCATTTGATTTTCCAAAACACAAAATCTCACCTTGGTCGTGTTACCTGTAGCTTCAAAAGCCTATTTGTTGTGTTTTTTATTTCCTAATGGCTACTCTGTCCAAACTCTTGTTTGTATTGTGTCAGAATACAAAATTTGGGAAGGAAGAAGGAAAACCAACTCAGACCAAGAAAACATTTAGGATATTGATGCTCAAGAAACTTCAAATCGGCGGAGGCACCCAAAACAATGACAGCAAGCCAGAATTGGAGCAAGCCAACAGCTGTGACCTGATTGAATAAGAACCTTCCTCTTGTGCCCTGAACTCCATATGCCAGCCTCAAAACCAAAGCTCACATCAGAAAATTCATTACAAACCACTAAAATTAAGAAAAATGAGAAAAAGGCCAAAGAAATTCAAGAATTCATAATGATATTGGCCTTGATACTGTCGCAAGGAAACCGGCTGTTCCCAGATTCATCCACCTCTCCAGCTGATGCCTGAGGAATATTGACTGAATTAACCTGAACGGAGGCAGTTAATATCTGTCACCACAGCCAAAGTGTTCCATTTCATTTTCCAAAACAAAATCTCACCTTGGTCGTGTTACCTGTAGCTTTCAAAAGCCTATTTGATGTGTTTTTTTATTTCATAATGGCTATTCTGTCCAAACTCTTGTTTCTGTTGCGTCAGAATACAAAATTTGGGAAGGAAGAGGACAAAACCAACTGAGACTCAGAAAACGTTTAGGAAATTGCCACTCAAGAAACCTCAAATCGGCAGAGGCACCCAAAACAATGACAGCAAGCCAGAATTGGAGCAGGCCAACAGCTGTGCCCTGATTGAAAAAGACTATTCCTCCGGTGCCCTGAACTCCATACTGCAGCCTCAAAACCAAAGCTCACATCAGAAAATTCATTACAAACCATGATAAATAAGAAAAATGAGAAAATAGACAAAGAAATGCAAGAATCAAGAATGATATTGGGCTGGATTTAGTTGCAAGGAAACCGGCTGTTCCCGGATTCATCCACCCATCCAGCTGACTGCCTGTGGAATTCTGACTGAATTAACCTGAACGGAGGCAGTTAATATCTGTCACCACAGCCAAAGTGTTCCATTTTATTTTCCAAAACACAAAATCTCACCTTGGTCGTGTTACCTGTATCTTCAAAAGCCTATTTGTTGTGTTTTTTATTTCCTAATGGCTACTCTGTCCAAACTCTTGTTTGTATTGTGTCAGAATACAAAATTTGGGAAGGAAGAAGGAAAACCAACTCAGACCCAGAAAACATTTAGGAAATTGCCACTCAAGAAACCACAAATCGGCTGAGGCACCCAAAACAATGACAGCAAGCCAGAATTGGAGCAAGCCAACAGCTGTGCCCTGATTGAAAAAGAACCTTCCTCTTGTGCCCTGAACTCAATATGCCAGCCTCAAAACCAAAGCTCACATCAGAAAATTCATTACAAACCATGATAAATAAGAAAAATGAGAAAAAAAGTCAAAGAAATGCAAGAATCCAGAATGATATTGGCCTTGATACTGTCGCAAGGAAACCGGCTGTTCCCAGATTCATCCACCCCTCCAGCTGACAGCCTGTGGAATTCTGACTGAATTAACCTGAACGAAGGCAGTTAATATCATTCACCACAGCCTAAGTGTTCCATTTTATTTTTTCAAAATACAAAATCTCACCTTGGTCGTGTTATCTGTAGCTTAAAACACCTATTTGATGTGTTTTTTATTTCATAATGGCTACTCTGTCCAAACTCTTGTTTGTATTGCGTCAGAATACAAAATTTGGGAAGGAAGAAGGCAAAACCAACTCAGACCCAGAAAACGTTTAGGAAATTGCCATTCAAAAATCCAAATTCAGCTGAGGCACCCAAAACAATGACAGCAAGCCAGAATTGGAGCAGGCCAACAGCTGTGCCTTGTTTGGAAAAGACCATTCCCCCGGTGGCCTGAACTCCATATTGCAGCCTCAAAACCAAAGCTCACATCAGAAAATTCATTACAAATCATGATAAATAACAAAAATGGGAAAAAAGGCAAAGAAATGCAAGAATCCAGAATGATATTGGGCTTGATTCAGTTGCAAGGAAACTGGCTGTTCCCGGATTCATCCACCCCTCCATCTGACTGCCTGTGGAATTCTGACTGAATTAACCTGAAAATTGCAGTGAAACTCTGTTTGGAGGCAATTAATATCTGTCACCTCAGCCAAAGTGTTCCATTTTATTTTCCAAAACACAAAAGCTCACCTTGGTCGTGTTACCTGTAGATTTCTAAGCTACAAATGCCTATTTGTTGTGTTTTTCATTACAAAATGGCTACTCTGTCCAAACTCTTGTTACTACTGCGGCAGAATACAAAATTTGGGAAGGAAAAAGGCAAAACCAACACAGACCCAGAAAACTTTCAGGAAAATGCCACACAAGAAACCAAATTTGGAGGGAATTAGAATCTGTCCCCTCAGCAAAAGGGTTCCATGTCATTTTCCAAAACACAGAAACACATCTTGTTCATATTGCCTACATTTCTCATTCTGAAAGGGCAATTTGATGTGTTTTTTTTTTTTCTTTCATAATGGCTACTCTGTCCAAAATCTTGCTTGTATTGCATCAGAATACAAAATTTGGGAATAAGAAGGCAAAACCGACTCAGACCCAGAAAACATTCAGGAAATTGGCACTCAAGAAACCACAAATCTCCTGAGGCACCCAAACAATGACAGCAAGCCAGAAGTGGAGCAGGCCAACAGCTGTGACCTGATTGAAAAAGAACCTTCCACTTGTGCCCTGAACTCCATATGCCAGCCTCAAAACCAAAGCTCACACCAGAAAATTCATTACAAACCATGATAAATAAGAAAGATGAGAAAAAAGCCAAAGAAATACAAGAATCCATAATGATATTGGGCTTGATTTAGTCGCAAGGAAATCGGCTGTTCCCAGATTCATCCACCCCTCCAGCTGACTGCCTGTGGAATTCCGACTGAATTTATCAGAAAATCGCAGTGAAACTCAGTTTGGAGGCAATTAATATCTGTCACCTCAGCCAAAGTGTTCCATTTTATTTTCCAAAACAAAAAAAAAATCATATTGGCGTGTTACCAGCAGATTTATAATCTGTAAATGTCTATTTGTTACATTGTGTCTGAATACAAAATTTGGGAAGGAATAAGGCAAAACTAACTCAGACCCAGAAAACTCACCTTGGTTGTGTTACCTGTAGATTTCCAAGCTTCAAACGCCTATTTGTTGTGTTTTTTATTTCATAATGGCTACTCTGCCCAAACTCTTGTTTGTATGGCGTCAGAATACAAAATTTGGGAAGAAGGCAAAACCAACTCAGACCCAGAAAACATTTAGGAAATTGCCGCTCAAGTAACCAAAATCAGCTGAGGCACCCAAAACAAGGACAGCAAGCCAGAATTGGAGCAAGCCAACAGCTTGATTGAAAAAGAACCTTCCTCTTGTGCCCTGAACTCAATATGCCAGCCTCAAAACTAAAGCTCACATCAGAAATTTCATTACAAACAATGATAAATAAGGGAAATGTGAAAAAGCCAAAGAAATGCAAGAGTCCTTTGTGATATTTGGCTGGATTTAGAAAGAAGGAAACTGGCTGTTTAAAGATTCATCCCCCCATTCCACAGACTGAGTTTGGAATTCTGACTCAATTCACCACAAAATCGCACTCACACTCAATTTGGAGGGAATTACTATCTGTCCCCTCAGCAGAAGTGTTCCATGTCATTTTCTAAAACACAGAAACTCATCTTGCTCATGTTGCCTGTAGATTTCTAATCCTGAAAGGGTAATTTGGTGTGTTTTTTTTTTTTCTTTCATAATGGCTACTCTGTCCAAAATCTTGCTTGTATTGCATCAGAATACAAAATTTGGGAATAAGAAGGCAAAACCAACTCAGACCCAGAAAACATTTAGGAAATTGCCACTCAAGAATCCACAAATTGGCTGAGGGACACAAAAAAATGACAGCAAGCCAGAAGTGGAGCAAGCCAACAGCTGAGCCCTGTTTGAAAAAGACCATTCCTCTGGTGCCCTGAACTCAATATGCCAGCCTCAAAACCAAAGATCACACAAGAAAATTCATTACAAACCATGATGAATAAGAAAAATGAGAAAAAAGCCGAAGAAATGCAAGAATCCATAATGATATTGGGCTTGATTTAGTCTCAAGGAAACCGGCTGTTCCCGGATTCATCCAACCCTAAAGCTGACTGCCTGTAGACTTCTGACTAAATTAACCTGAAATTCGCAGTGAAACTCAGTTTGGAGGCAATATATAACTGTCACCTCAGCCAAAGTGTTCCATTTTATTTTCCAAAACACAAAAACTCACCTTGTTCGTGTTACCTGTAGAGTTATAAGCTTGAAATGCCTATATGTTGTGTTTTTTATTTCATAATGGCTACTCTGTCCAAACTCTTGTTTGTATTGCGTCAGAATACAAAATTTGGGGAGGAAGAAGGCAAAACCAACTCAGACCCAGAAAACATTTAGGAAATTGCTGCTCAAGAAACCTCAAATCGGCTGGGGCACCTAAACCAATGACAGCAAGCCAGAATTGGAGCAAGCCAACAGCTGTGCCCTGATTGAAAAAGAACCATTCTCTTGTGCACTGAACTCCATATTGCAGCCTCAAAACCAAAGCTCACATCAGAAAATTCATTATTCTGTCCAAACTCTTGTTTGTATTGCGTCAGAATACAAAATTTGGGAAGGAAGAAGGCAAAACCAACTCAGACCCAGAAAACATTTAGAAAATTGCCTCTCAAGAAACCAAACACCGCTGAGGCACCCAAAAACTTAAAACAAGACAGAATTGGAACAAGCCAACAGCTGTGCCCTGATTGAAAAAGAACCTTCCTCTAGTGCCCTGAACTCAATATGCCAGACTCAAAACCAAAGCTCACATCAGAAAATTCATTACAAACCATGATAAATAAGAAAAAAGAGAAAAAAGGCAAAGAAATGCAGGAGTTCTTAGTAATATTGGGCTTGATTTATTGCCATGTAAACGGCTGTTTCCAGATTCATCCACACCTCCCAGCTGAATGTCTGTGGTTTCTGACTGAATTAACCTGAAAATCGCAGTGAAACTCGGTTTGGAGGCAATTAATATCTGTCACCTCAGCCAAAGTGTTCCATTTTATCTTCCAAAACTCAAAAACTCACCTTAGTCTTCTTACCTGTAGATTTCAAAACTTCAAATGCCTATTTGTTTTGTTTTTTTTTCATAATGGCTACTCTGCCCAAGCTCTTGTTTGTATTACGTCAGAATACAAAATTTGGCAAGGAAGAAGGCAAAACCGACTCAGACCCAGAAAACATTTAGGAAATTGCCACTCAAGAATCCAAAAGTCAGCTGAGGAACCTACAACAATGACAGCAAGCCAGAATTGGAGCAAGCCAACAGCTGTGCCCTGATTGAAAAAGAACCTTCCTCTTGTGCCCTGAGCTCAATATAGCAGATTCAAAACCAAAGCTCACATCAGAAAATTCATTACAAACCATGATAAATAAGAAAAATGAGAAAAAAGCCAAAGAAATGCAGGAGTTCTTAGTAATATTGGGCTTGATTTATTGCCATGTAAACGGCTGTTTCCAGATTCATCCACACCTCCCAGCTGAGTGTCTGTGGTTTCTGACTGAATTAACCTGAATATCGCAGTGAAACTCGGTTTGGAGGCAATTAATATCTGTCACCTCAGCCAAAGTGTTCCATTTTATTTTCCAAAACTCAAAAACTCACCTTAGTATTCTTACCTGTAGATTTCTAAGCTTCAAATGCCTATTTGTTGTGTTTTTTATTTCATCATTGCTACTCTGTCCAAACTCTTGTTTGTATTGCGTCAGAATACAAAATTTGGGAATAAGAAGGAAAAACCGTGTCAGACCCAGAAAACATTTAGGAAATTGCCACTCAAGAAACCAAAAGTCAGCTGAGGAACCCACAACAATGACAGCAAGCCAGAATTGGAGAAAGCCAACAGCTGTCCCTGATTGAAAGAGAACCTTCCTCTTGTGCCCTGAACTCAATATGCCAGCCTCAAAAGCAAAGCTCACATCAGAAAATTCATTACAAACCATGATAAATAAGAAAAATGAGAAAAAAGCCAAAGAAATGCAGGAGTTCTTAGGGATATTGGGCTTGAATTATGGCCATGTAAACGGCTGTTTCCAGATACATCCACACCTCCCAACTGAGTGTCTTTGGTTTCTGAATGAATTAACAAAAAAATCGCAGTGAAACTCGGTTTTGGAGGCAATTAATATCTGTCACCTCAGCCAGAGTGTTCAATTTTATTTTCATAAACACAAAAACTTACCTTGCTCAGTGTTACCTGTACATATATAAGCTTCAAACGCCTATTTGTTGTGTTTTTTATTTCATAATGGCTACTCTGTCCAAACTCTTGTTTGTATTACGTCAGAATAGAAAATTTGGAAAGGAAGAAGGCAAAACCAACTCAGACCCAGAAAACATGTAGGAAATTGCCGCTAAAGAAACCAAAACAGCTGAGGCACGCAAAACAATGACAGCAAGCCAGAATTGCAACAAGCCAACAGCTGTGTCCTGTTTGAAAAAGACCATTGATCCGGTGCCCTGAACTCAATATGCCAGCCTCAAAACCAAAGCTCACATCAGAAAATTCATTACAAACCATGATAAATCAGAAAAATGAGACAAAAGCCAAAGAAATGCACGAGTTCTTAGTGATATTTGGCTGGATTTAGACACAAGGAAACTGGCTGTTTAAAGATTCATCCCCCCCTTCCACTGACTGACTTTGGAATTCTGATTGATTTCACCTCAAAATTGCTCTCACACTCAATTTGGAGGGAATTAGAATCTGTCCCCTCAGCAGAAGGGTTCCATGTCATTTTCCAAAACACAGAAACTAATCTTGATCACGTTGCCAGTAGATTTCTAATCCTGAAAGGGCAATTTCTGTGTTTTTTTTTTTTCTTTCATTATGGCTACTCTGTCCAAATCTTGCTTGTATTGCATCAGAATACAAAATATGGGAATAAGAAGGCAAAACTGACTCAGACCCAGAAAACATTAAGGAAATTGCCGCTCAAGAAACCACAAATCGGCTGAGGTTCCCAAAACAATGACAGCAAGCCAGAATTGGAGCAAGCCAACAGCTGTGCCCTGATTGAAAAAGAACCTTCCTCTTGTGCCCTGAACTCAATATGCCAGCCTCAAAACCAAAGCTCACATCAGAAAATTCATTACAAATCATCATAAATAAGAAAAAAGAGAAAAAAGCCAAAGAAATGCAAGAATCCATAATCATAGTGGCTTGAATTAGTTGCAAGGAAACCTGCTGTTCCCGGATTCATCCACCCCTCCAGCTGACTGCCTGTGGAATTCTGACTGAATTAACCTGAAAATCGCAGTAAGACTCAGTTTGGAGGCAATAATATCAGTCACCTCAGCCAAAGTGTTCCATTTGATTTTCCAAATCACAAAAACTCACCTTGGTCGTGTTACCCTTAGATTCATAAGCTTCAAACGCTAATTTGTTGTTTTTTTTTTTTTTATTTCATGATGGCTACTCTGTCCAAACTCTTGTTTGTATTGCGTCAGAATACAAAATGTGGGAAGGAAGAAGGGAAAA